TGTGGTGGTGCACACTTGTAGTCCCAGCTACTCAGGAGGCTGAGGCAGGAGAATCACTTGAACCCGGGAGGCAGAGGTGCAGTGAGCCAAGATCACGCCACTGCACTCGAGCCTGGGTGACAGGGCAAGACTCCGTCTCCAAAAAAAAAAAAAAAAAGAAGATAGCGGTGGCAATAAGAATATTTTCACAATAGCTACATGGAGACTTCTGAAATTTAACTCAAATATTCAAAGCTGCCACTTTATTTTATATCACAAGGTGAAGAGAAACATACCAGCTCCTTATATTCCTCCCAGCTACAGGAAGAATCACGGTCTTACATCCCTCTGTCCTTCTTTATACCTCTGCAAAGAAGCAATACTTTTACATATCTTCATGTGCTCTTCTATTCGCAAGTCTATGAATAGCACCTTATTCCTAGCCACTTAAAGCATCAGTATGCTGGGAAGAGGGAAAAGGGAGGAAGGTGGCAAAGAAGATTAGGATGGCAATGTTACAGTAGAAATAAGCATGATAAAAAGAATAATTATTCTTTTTTTGGCTTTATTCCCATAGCCAAAATAGGTTTCCGTGTCTGCAACAAGCCAATCAGCTTGAAAGTCAGGACTTATCATGAGAGAAAACAAGTTTTCTAAATTAATTTATCTCCCTCTGTAATACATCAAGCCAGGCTTGGTAGACTTGGTCACTGAAATTATATGTTGAAAGCTCCACACAGAATTAAGTGAAAGCAGGAAAACCTCACCCCTGCAAATTTGGGAGGATCATGGAGGAAAAAGGGGAAACAGAGGTAAACCAAGGAGTTTAGATGCCAGGGTTTTTTTTTTTTTTTTTTTTTTCTTGACTTGAAATCAACCCTTAAGATAAATGGGAGCTTATGGAGCATAAGAAAACTTAAGGTCACCAAATATAGTAGCATGCTTCTGTGGGCATGACACAGAGAGGCTGCAGGTCCTGAGGACAACTCCGGCTCATGGTACAAGGGGACATGCATGACTATATGAATCTAGTTTTCCAGTGCCTGGAAATAAGGAAATCCAAGGTGCCTGTATGTTTTGCCAGGGAAGATAGAGAAGTATGCAGAACAATAGTGCAACAGCACAAGGCTAGAGTCAAAGCAAAGTTGCTACAGCATGCAATGACTTCCAGGAAGAACAGGAGCCAGAGATTCCAGCCATGAGTATGCTGTTAAGTGTTTAAAAACCCATTATCAGAAAAAAAAAATAATAGGCCCTGGTAGGTAGTATTTGCCCATTTTTATGGTATAAATAATCCCACTATAGTCAATTTCAAGCTCCAACATGACATCACTACTTATGAGTTTAGTAAGAGATATGTAGTAGCACACTATTTTATGGTGTTTCTACCATAAAGATATGATAGATGTGAACAATCTCATAGATATTAGTGAAACACAGTAAAATAGTTATGAAGTGATGAGTTTTTAGTATTATATTTGTTTTTATATAATTTATTTAATTGAAAATGTCTATTAAGTACACATTTATATACATATTATATACATATATATATATACTTTTTTTTCTTTTTCTGAAACAGGGTCTTGCTTTGTCACCCAGGCTGAGTGCAATGGCATGAACATGGCTTACTGCAGCCTGAACTTCCTGGGCTCAAGGGATCCTCCTGCCCCAACTTCCTGTGTAGCTGGGACTACAGGCATGCGCCACCACAACTGGTTAATTATTTTTAATTTTTGTAGGACAGGATCTTGCTGTGTTGGCCAGGCTGATCTCGAATTTCTGGGCTCAAGAGATCCTTCCACCTCAGATTCCCAAAGTGCTGAGATTGCAGGCATGAGCCAAAGTGCTAGGCCTGCAAATTTATATTTTAATCGCAAGTTTAACAAAGAGCTCACAAAATTTCTGAAATCTTAACAATTTCTGAAATCTTAACAATCAGGTATTGCAAGCCAGTACAAACCAACTCCAGCACACAATTGATTCCAACAAGAGCAAGCACCCCAAATGTCTAAGTGGCACTATCCTTACCTATATGATTCGAGAAGTCCACACCCCAGCAAAGAAGAACAAAAGTCAGGCTGAGCACGGTGGCTCACGTCTGTAATCCCAACATTTGGGGAGGCTGAGGTGGGAGGACTGCTTAAGGCCGGGAGTTTGAGACCAACCTGGGCAACGTAGCAAGACCCTGTCTCCATTTTTTTTAATTAAAAGAATTTCCAAAACAAGAAGAAGTATCTAAGGAATGCTCCAGCAATCTGAAGCCATCTCTTTACCTACTGTTACAAAAACAATGGAGTCATCCAAGACTTTTTAGATTCTCTGGCAAATTTGTTTGATTTTTGGTTTTTTGTTTGTTTGTTTGTTTGTTTGTGAGACAGGGTCTTGTCATGTTGCTCAGACTGGTCTCAAATTCCTGGGCTCAAGTAATTCCCCCACCTCAGCCTCCTGAATAGGTGGGATTACAGGTGTGAGCCATTGCCGCCCAACTCAATATTTTATAAACTGGAAGTAACTAAATTTACTCAATTGACCTAAATTTAGGGGATTTTTTTTTCTCTCAGTGTCCAGAGAAGTGGGAATATGTAAGAAAGATTAGCTTAATTATTAAAAATTCGGTACATTTTCTTTTTTTCTTTTTTCATTTTTTTAAACGGAGACACTCTTAAAAATTCAGTACATTATCAATTCACTTCTGAGTATAATGCGGGTAAACGTATGACCCTCACAACAACTTAAATAAAGAAATCACAGAAATTTGAGGTCATTCCAACAGCTCATGTTGTTCTTCACAGCTCACTTTCTAGATATGCAGAAATGATTCCTGCTTGCTGTCAAAACGAAAAATAATGAGGATCTTGGGAATATAGTTCTCATCTCGGAAATGTTTCAAGGTAGAATTCCAAGGAGGTGAATAGTTTTCTTCAAATCTCTTTGACAGTGTTTTTAAAAACTGGATCAAAGAAGATCCAGCTAATAAGGGTAATCAATTCAAGATCATAAGAAGAAGAGTCACACTCCATAAATAACCAAGTTTCATCGATTCTCAAATCAGTCAATGAGTTGATCCCTTGGAAGATTTTAATTCCATGCCAAAGCAGAGATTCAGTAATCCATCACCACAAGCCAAAGGGATGTTCTAAAGGATGCTTTCCTTACCTGCTCCGCATTCCACCTGAGAATACACCAACTTTCTCCAAGAGTTTGCTGCTGTGTCCATGTGAGTCCAAGACGAAAAGCATTCCTAAGGCTGGGGCAATTCACCATGGAACAAATACTTAATTCCCAGACTTTAAACATTTTCACGATTTTGTCAAAAACAGTATTTAATCTGTCTCTTTCCCCCCATCTTCTTCCTCAACTCACCCTCTACTCGCAGAGTTAATTTGTTAGGCATATAAATTTTGAATTAAATTATTCTTTCTCCCAATTAAAGAACATTCTTCTTTGAATTGAGGAAAATAATTTTAAAGAGCTATCATTTATTTTCTCTCTTTTGGGAGAGATGATAAAGCAATATAGATGATGTATCAGATTAAGTGTTACTGTATAAACACAGTAAGAGATGGATTCTTTAACCCTGTGTTTCCCAGAACACATTTAGTTCAACCTACTTGAAAACTGGGGCAGGGCGCGGTGGCTCAAGCCTGTAATCCCAGCACTTTGGGAGGCCAAGACGGGTGGATCACGAGGTCAGGAGATTGAGACCATCCTGGCTAACACGGTGAAACCCCGTCTCTACTAAAAAATACAAAAATCTAGCTGAGCAAGGTGGCGGGCGTCTGTAGTCCCAGCTACTCGGGAGGCTGAGGCAGGAGAATGGCGTAAACCCGGGAGGCGGAGCTTGCAGTGAGCTGAGATCTGGCCACTGCACTCCAGCCTGGGCAACAGAGCGAGACTCCATCTCAAAATTAAATAAATAAATTAATTAATTAATAATAATAATCGATGCTGTTATCATCCAAATGAACAGAGCTACTAAACTACTTAGGTTAATTAATAAATGTAAATAACATTCCAGAGCAAACAGAAAGTACAAATGGTACCTTAGACTTTGTTTACACTGAGCATAGGCTCACATTGTTTGAAGTGCAGGCCCTGTCCTACAGTCTTGACTATATGGAAAAAGCATGAGAGATGTGATCATGGAGGGAAACATGACACAGGATTAGCAGGAGTTGATGCTCTCCACTTAGCCAGTCAACCAACAAATATTTATTAACTTATTATTGCCAAGCACCAGAGTAGTTGCTGCAAATACATCAAAGAACAAAATAGACTGTTCTTTGCTCTGAAGGATCTTACAATCTAGTAGAAGAAACCAGTAAGTACTTACACAAATAGCTCTTATAATATTGTACTGTAATCACCCTTTAATATAAGTTCTTATTTCCCAGAAAATTGTCTTCTAGTGGAGGATAATTCTTCCCAAGGAGGTGACAGATGAAATGAATCCTGGGGAATGAAGACATATTAGATGAATGAGCATACTCCTAAGCCCAGAGGAAGGAAGGCATGGTGATCTGAGAGAACTGAAACGAAGAAGATTATCAAAATATGCAAGAATGGGATCACAAAGTTTCTTGTAGATTTCAGGAGGAGACATTTCAAGGATATTAAGTCATAAAGCAACAATAGGAATAATTGTGGGGTAATAGTTCCACACTGCTTCATATCACCAAAATCTATTTCTCTGTGGTCCCCTTTGGGGGCATAGACCTACAATATGCACTTACTTACACTATTATTCAGACACAACTCTGCGCTTGGCTTCTAACACCTGTATGTAGTATCTCCCATTAAAGAGGGATTTCAGGGCACCTGGAGACTAAACAGCCGCTGAAGGTTGTTTTGCCATGCAAACCCAGGTGACTTAGGGCAAATGCTTTCTACTTAAAATAGAGAAGACTTCTGTTTACCTTCCAAATTCTGATCATTAGATAAAAGCATTCTCTTATCACTTCACTCCTGTATTTTCCTTATCAGACTTCACCATTCATCTTAGCAGACTACAAAAAGACATGGGAAAGACCAAAAACACATCGCTGGACACTGTGGTGACAGATTTCATTCTTCTGGGCTTGTCTCACCCCCCGAATCTAAGAAGCCTCCTCTTCCTGGTCTTCTCCATCATTTACATCCTCACTCAAGTGGGGAACCTGCTCATTCTGCTCACCGTGTGGGCTGATGCGAAGCTCCATGCTCGCCCCATGTACATTCTTCTGGGAGTGCTCTCATTCCTGGACACGTGGCTCTCCTCAGTCATCGTTCCTCGAATTATTTTAAACTTCGTTCCTGCCAGCAAGGCTATCCCGTTTGGTGGCTGTGTGGCTCAGCTGTATTTCTTTCACTTCCTGGGCAGCACCCAGTGCTTCCTCTACACCTTGATGGCCTATGACAGGTACCTGGCAATATGTCAGCCCCTGCGCTACCCAGTGCTCATGAATGGGAGGTTATGCACAGTCCTTGTGGCTGGAGCTTGGGTCGCCGGCTCCATTCACGGGTCTATCCAGGCCACCCTGACCTTCCGCCTGCCCTACTGTGGGCCCAACCAGGTAGATTACTTTTTCTGTGACATTCCTGCAGTATTGAGACTGGCCTGTGCTGACACAACTGTCAATGAGCTTGTGACTTTTGTGGACATTGGGATAGTGGCTACCAGTTGCTTCATGTTAATTCTACTTTCCTATGCCAACATAGTCCATGCCATCCTGAAGATACGAACCGCTGATGGGAGGCGCCGGGCCTTCTCCACCTGTGGATCCCACCTAACTGTGGTCACAGTCTACTATGTTCCCTGTATTTTCATCTACCTCAGGCCGGGCTCCAAGAGCCCCCTGGATGGGGCAGTGGCTGTGTTTTACACTGTTGTCATTCCATTCCTGAACCCCCTCATCTACACACTGAGGAACCAGGAAGTGAAGTCCGCCCTGAAGAGGATGACAGCAGGTCGAGGGACTGAATGAAAATAAGTAACTGTCTACGGCCATACCACCCTGAACGCGCAGGATCTCATCTGAGCTCGGAAGCTAAGCAGGGTCAGGCCTGGTTAGTACTTGGATGGAGAAATAAGTAACTACAGCTACATAACCGTCGCTACCACTCTCTTCAGCTACTGCTGCATGTGACAGATGTTCGATAAATAGATGTTAGTTTCAGCTGAAATGAATATGATTCTACTAGGAAGAGGCTTCTGGTGCTATATTCAACCTCAAGAAATTATCCATCACTATTTTTCCGATCCAGCTCTCAAGAGAAAGCACATATGTTGACTCTGAAAAGTTGATGCTTTCTTCTAGAAGGAGGGGAAATTATTACTTGGGGAAAACCAACATAATACTGTCCTACATTCATTTGCTTTGCTCCTAATTTCCCAAGCCTCTAGGCATTCAGAATTGCTTTGCTCACATCAAGGCAAATCCATCCTTCCAGGTACTTAGTTAGAATCTCTGTGTGGCTCATCTGTGTTTCCTTTCAGCCCCTCACTTTTCTCCGTGTAGTAATTCATCAAAATCCTGTTCACTCTGCTTCAGAAGTGTCTCTCTGGCTTCTTATGTGGTCTCCTGGTCACCTCCACTTTCCTCCATACAACTACCAGAGTTTTCTTTCTGAAACATACAACTAAATATTTTCTTTCCTGTCCTTATAAATATTTACTGGCTTTCCACTGCATATAAATAAAGCCATACCTCTTAGCTTGGAATTCAAAGTCCCCCACAATCTGCACAATCTGGTACCAACACACCTCATCTCCCAAAATATCTCTACCTCCCTTTTCTCTTCCGGCCCCATTAATTTACCTGTCATTCCTTAAACATTATCCGTACTTCCCTGCCTCTGAGCCTTTTCTTGAGTTACTCTCATATCTGAAATAGCCTTCCTCCTCCATATTGGTAAACTGACGTTTTATGCTTACTTTGAGGTCCAGGAAAAATCTTTATTCCTACAAAAAGTTTTCTTATTCTTCCACTCATAAATTATATCCTCCTTGTATTCCAGTGGGCCTTCAAATTTTATAATAGCACTTTTTTTGGCTGGACTATATTATAGCTTAGATTGCAGTTTCTAGAGAAAGGAAAGCATTTTTTTTTCTTTGAGATGGAGTCTTGCTCTGTTTATCACTTTGCATCACAAAACGCTGAGATTACAGTTATGAGCCACAGCACCCAGCCAGGAAAGTATGTTTTATTGATGTTTATGTTGTAGCCTCCTTTTCCCCAATATCTACTAGTATCCACTTATAGAGGAGATGGCTGGGTGTCCATAAAAATCCATTCTCTCTTTCCCTAGTAAGAAGGCTGTAGCTAGAATGTGGCTGCCCTTTTGTGGATATTTCTCAGTGTCTCTTGTAGCCAGATCTAGTCATATATCTAAGTATTCACAAATTGAACATGAGAAGACTGTATGTATGTGTGAGATACTTCCACCTACATATACACATAAGTCCCTCAAAACTGGCACATGGCCGGGCGCAGTGGCTCACACCTATAATCCCAGCACTTTGGGAGGGCAAGGCAGGTGGAATACCAGAGGTCAGGAGTTCAAGACCAGCCTGGCCAACATGGTGAAACCCCGTCTCTACTAAAAATATGAAAATTAGCTGGGCACGGTAGTGTGTGCCTGTAATCCCAGCTACTCTGGAGGCTGAGGCAAGAGAATCGTTTGAACCCGGGAGGTGGAGGTTGCAGTGAGCCGAAATCATGCCACTGCTCTCCAGCCTGGGCAACAGAACAAGACTCCATCTCAAAAAAAAAAAAAAACTGGCACATGAATTTTTCCACATTCTTTTTCTGCTCTAAGCTGGAAAAGGCACAGGATGGGGACCTACAAGGAGCAACTTCTGACCAAGTAGAGAACAATAACCTACCAGCCTGGATCACTCACCTCAGAATTCTAAGTGAGGGGGAAATAAACCTTCAGCTTCTTTAATCCAGTGATTTATTGTTGGGTTACTTTGTTAGAGCAGTTTTTAATCCACTGATTTGTTGTTGAGTTACTTCGTTACCTCATCCTAACTAATGCTTTACCCAATCAACAATTTTTTAAATTAAAACAGCACCAGGGCTGGGCACGGTGGCTCATGTCTGTAATCCCAACTACTTGAGGCTGGGAGAATAGCTTGAGGCCAGGAATTCAAGACCAGCCTAGGCAACCAAGTAAGATCCCATCTCTAGAATATGAACAAACAAGCAAACAAAAACAGCACCAGGAAAGTCTTTTGAACTGCATCTAAATTGTCCAAAGCAACGCCAGGCGCGGTGGCTCATGCCTGTAATCCCAGCACTGTGGGAGGCCGAGGCGGGCAGATCACGAGGTCAGGAGATCGAGACCATCCTGGCTAACACGGTGAAACCCCGTCTCTACTAAAAATACAAAAAATTAGCCAGGAGTGGTGGTGCGCGCCTGTAGTCCCAGCTACTGGGAGGCTGAGGCAGGAGAATGGCGTGAACCCGGGAGGCAGAGCTTGCAGTGAGCTGCGATGCGCCACTGCACTCCAGCCTGGGCAACAAAGTAAGACTCCGTCTCGAAAAAAAAAAAAAAAATTGTCCAAAGCATCCAGAAAAACTTTTGGTTAGTTATCACAAGCCATGTAGACAAAGATCTAGAAGCCAGCCAGTCAATCATTCAGTAGGTCACTGAGCAAATCATGCAGTGTCTTCTGACCAGGCCAGGCTGATGTAAATAACCCTTGCATTTTCCTCTGTGACCTATCCTGGTCTTACCTGGAGGAAAAAGAAAACATGTAAAAGAAGCTGAAGACAGAAGACTCAAGTATGGAACAATATAAGAGCAGTGTCGATCGCTCCTTCCAGAAAAATGAAGGACAAGGTAAATGTGTTCTTTCATTTGCCAACAGTTTTTTTATTCATCTATATGTGAGAGCTCATATTGGCCTAATTTTAAATAATAGATCAAGCCAAAGACTCAGAAAAATAAAAATGTATATATCTGAGACAACTGGAATAAACATGAACATCAATTTTGTTAAAAGCCTTTATGACCAGCCTGGGCAATATAGCAAGACCTCATCTCTACTAATTAAAAAAAAAAAAATAGCCAGACATAGTGGTGTACACCTGTACTCCCTGCTGCTTGAGAGGCTGAGGCAGGAGAATCACCTTCAGCCTAGAAGCTGAAGCCTTCAGTGAAATATAATCGTGCCACTACACTCCAGCCTGTGTGACAGAGAGACCCTGTCTTAAAAGAAAACAATTATTTATGAGAAAAAACTGCAACAGTGAGATTACAAGATATATTTATATCTTCTCCTATAAGAGAAGCCATTTAAGACAACTTCTGAGTCTACGGTAATTTATTTTTTCTCAAAGCCAATATTTTTCACCCATACATAATAGAGATATATTTTTTTTCAGGGTTCATGTGGTAGATTAACACATTAACATAATTTGTAAATATCAAATCAGTGTAATTGGAACGTCCATCAACTTAAATGTTTGTATTTTCTTTTTTTTTTTTTTTTGAGACAGAGTCTCGCTTTGTCGCCCAGGCTGGAGCGCAGTGGCCGGATCTCAGCTCACTGCAAGCTCCGCCTTCCGGGTTCACACCATTCTCCTGCCTCAGCCTCCCGAGTAGCTGGGACTACAGACGCCCGCCACCTCGCCCGGCTAGTTTTTTGAATTTTTTTAGTACAGACGAGGTTTCACCGTGTTAACCAGGATGGTCTCGATCTCGTGACCTCGTGATCCACCCGTCTCGGCCTCCCAAAGTGCTGGGATTACAGGCTTGAGCCACCGCGCCCGGCCAATGTTTGTATTTTCTTTACGCCAGAAACATTTGAGTTATTTTATAGTGATTTTGAAATGTACAATAGTTTATGATAAACTATAGTCACACTACTAATCTATCAAACATTAAGTGTTACTTTGTGTACCAAATAGTATATTTGTACCCATTAATCAACCTCTCTTTATCCCCACCTACTTCCTACCTTCTACCAATCTACTCCCTATATTTATGAGATCCGCTTTTTCAGCCCCCACATATGAGTGAGAACATGCAATATTTGTCTTTCTGTGCTTGGCTTATTTCACTTAACATAATGGCCTCCAGTTCCATCCATGCTGCAAATGACAGGATGTGTGTGTGTGTGTGTGTGTGTGTGTGTGTGTGTGTGTGTGTGTCTGAATATTATGCTGTTGTGTATATATACCACATTTTCATTACTCATTCATCTATTGATGAGCACTTGGGTTGATTCCATATTTTGGCTATTGTAAATAGTGCTACAACAAACATGAGAGTGTAGATATTACTTCATTATATTGATTTCCTTTCTTTTGGATATATATCCAGTAGTGGAATTGCTGGAATATATGATGATTCTATTTTAGTTTTCTGAGGAACCTCCGTGCAGTTTTCCATAATGCCTCTACCAATTTACATTCTCACCAACAATGTACAAGGATTTCCCTTTCTCCGCATTCTTGCCAGTATTCATTACTCCCTGTCTTTTTGATAAAAGCATTGTAACTAGGGTGCGATGACATTTCATTGTAAAGCATTGTAACTAGGGTGAGATGATATTTCATTGTAGTTTTGGTTTGCATTTTTCTGATGATTGAAGATGTTGCACATTTTTTATGTAACTATTGGCCATTTGTGTGTCTTCTTTTGGAAAATATCTATTCAGATCTTTTGCCCACTTTTTAATTAGATTGTGTAGGGATTTTTGCTATTGAGTTGTTTGAGCTCCTTATGTATTCTGATTATTAACCCTTTTTCAGATGGGTAGTTTGCAAATATTTTCTCCCATTCTGTGAAGTGTCTCTTCACTTTGTTTATTGTTTCCTTTGCTGTCCAGAAGCTTTTCAACTTGATACCATCTCATTTGTGTATTTTTGCTTTGGTTGCCTGTATTATTGAAGTCCTATGCAAAAAAATCTTTGTCCAGATCAATGTCCTGGAGCATCACCCAATATCTTCTCGTGGGAGTTTCATAGTTTCA